TTACTTCTTGAAAGAGGTCTTTCTAAAAAACCCAATCTAAATACTCCTCTCATTTTTCTCTCTCATTTTTTTCTTCACTTTTCCTGTGCTTTTATATTTACTTGTTTAATATCTGTGTATTTTATGACACCTACTGCCCCCACATACGAGGCACTCAGAGATCATTTGTTGAATAAACTTCTGAATGGGTAATAAACCTGTTAACTTGAGCAAGGAACACAGAGGGAGGAGGTAGTGGGTGACAGACTGGGTTGGGAACATAGAGTTTGAGGGGCCTTCAGGTCACTTGGGAGAGACGGTCAGGAAACAACTTTAAGTACAGACCTAGCACTTGGGAAGATTAGACTCCTTCGTCTAGGATAAGCATCCACTTGTTCCCCTGTCCCCTTCAGAAGCAATTCCTTCTTCCTCTCAACTCATTTTACAGTTACTCTGTACTTCACAGTTGACTTCTATTTCCCTTCTTCATTTTATTTGTACAAGCATATTATCTCAGTTTTACATTAATACAGGATATTACGTTGAATATGTGAAGAGCCATCATATGTGTGCTATCTTTTGATCTGTGTCAGGCCCATCTGTGTGCTCCCCACAGCCTCCAACAAAGTGTCTTGAAATTGTTGAAACTAAATATTTAATGAATGCATGAATAAATTATCATTTCCTATGCCCTTATTTTCCATTATTTTCTTATCTCTTCTTTCACTACTTATAATTCTCTTTAAAGCCTTCTCTTCTTCACCACCACCCCCTTTTCTCCACCTTTTCCATATCCTTGTGTCCTGAAGATTTCAAGATTTTTCTATAAAATAAACCTGAGGTACTTTTTCTATATCTCAAAAGTGGCGGCTTTAATATACGCTTTCTCACAGGGTTTTCATGGTTGAATGTAAAGTATCTAGCACTGTGCCTGGGACCAACTTGGCATGCAATATTTATTTATTTTTTTCCTCATCCCAAATTTAAATTAGCACAGGNCTTGACTTCCCCAAGATTCACTCACCCCATGCTGCCTTTACTTTGTACGTACCTCTACTAGAACATTTATCACTGTATTGTAATTATGTCTGTGTCCAGTTCCCTCACTAGATTGTGAGGTCCTTGGGGAAGGGCGGTGTCTTATTCATCTCTGTATCCCCAGTGCCTAGCACATATGAGATGCAGAAAGGCCATCTCCAGATCAAGAGGGAATTAACCCAAGATTGGTTATAGGGGATCAGATCTCTGGAAGAGAAGCGCCCATCACCTGCAGTGGGCCCCCAGATGACTGGATCTTGTGTTCAGGCATTTCAGAGACAGGAATATAGAAATCTGACACGGCCGCAGCCAGGTAAAACATCGCAGAAGGGCCTGTAAAAAGAAACACAGGGTGTAATAAATCGGAGAGGGGTATGGAATCAGCTCCTTTTCAACTCAGGTTCCCCAGCTGTGAGACCCATGGGTAATGAGGGTGTAAAGGGGTTAAGTGTCTGGGGAGAAAGTCTCTGCCTCCAAACGAACGATGGATTCCTAGGGCACGCACCTAGCGGATTGAGCGCCTGGGCCGCAGCCCGCAGCAGATGCAAATACTCGGTCAAAGTGGTGAACTCTACCGCCAGGAAGGTGCCGGCAGCAGCAGCTTCCTGGTAGCTCCGCAGAGCCGCAGCGAAGCCCGGGAGTGCATTCTCCTCAGCCTCCAGGCTCAGTAAGCCGGAAGGGGATCGGCTGGAGGGCCGCAGAGCCGACAGCCAGGTTTGGGGAGGGAAGCGGTGGGCAAAGGGGAAGGCGGAGCGAGCACGGTACAGGAACAGAACGCCGTAGCCCGCAGCCAGGAAGGCCTCCGCTGAGGTTGCACCGCGCCGCCCGCTGCTGAAGTTGTCCAGGAAGCGCACTGGCCGGGCTTCCAATGGGACCTTGGTGCCGCCGGATGTGACCAACACCACCCGTCTTCCCTGCGCACCCAGCCCGGCGGCGAAGCGAACCATAGCCTCGGCCGAGCGGGCAACACCAGCGGGCTGAGGGAACTCAGCGACTAACTCCACTTCCGCCATGAGTCTCCCGGCTCCCCCGCGCCTGCGCACGCTGCAGGGCCGCCGGCACCACGCCCCCTGCCCCACGTGGCCTACGCGCGGCCGCAATATGAGGAGGCGGTTTGCCACTCTCCACTAGAAGCCGGCAGCGGGCTTCCCCACGTGTGGAAATGTGTCGTGGTTCTGCCCTACAGGACTGCTAAATTAACCCTAAACAGACACCAGTCGGCTGGGCAGGCATCTGGAAGGGTCACATCCCTCTCAAATTAGTTTCCTAGCCTGGGTAAAGAACAGGCTATTTGACTCTTACCGGCCACCGTATAGATCTCCCTGCCCTTGGACTTCGCTGGAGTTAGATTGCCCATTTAACCTTTGAGGCTTGCGGGGAGCGAAGGTTGTTTTTAACCCCACAAACACATTCCAGGTGCTAGTCAAGCCACGCCCTCCCCCATGCCCTTGAAATGCTGGGATCGAGGCTGCCCCCTGGTGGTCATGTGACACTGGCGTCCAGCGTATCCTCTCTAGGCAACCGTCTTAGAGACCGACATCACTGGCAGCAACATGAACGTGATCTACCCACTGGCGGTGCCTAAGGGACGCCGGCTCTGCTGTGAGATTTGCGAAGCTCCAGCCGAGCGGGTGTGCGCGGACTGTACAGTCACTTATTACTGGTAGGCCCTGAAATGTGGCCCCTTGGGCGCCTCAACTCCCTCCCTCTGTCACTGGTCTGGGCCTGGGTCCCTTTAAGTCGGCTTCAAGACAGGTCCCTAAGACTTGTGTGCCTTGTCTGCCTCCTCTTCTACTCAGTCGTTCGTCTGCAGACGTTTTGTTGAGCGCCTACTGTGCGCTATACACTGTTCTAGGTGCTGAAGTTACTGAGGGAACTCTGCAGACCATGTCCCTCAAAGAGCTAACACGCAAATGCGGCAGACAGATAAGTAAACAAACAGCAAACAGAAAACAAGATAATTTCAGAGTGAAATGTCATAAAGACAAAGGAAATACAATGGGAGATTGGGCAGGATGCCTGCCTGAGGGTAACTATTAATCTGAAACTAAAGTCGGAGCAGCCCGCCCTGGAAATGGCTGGGCGAAGAGTGACACAGAAGGCTGGTGCGTTTGAGGACTACAAGGAAGGCTAGTTTGTCGGGTGCACAGTCACGACAGGGAGGATAGCAC